GGGGGCAATATGCTGACTCTGTAAACCGCTTAGAGAGGGCTGGAAGCCCTATGAAGCGGTATATAAGTCTAACTGCTATTGCTATTGCTATTGCTCTGTAAACCGCTTAGAGAGGGCTGAAAGCCCTATGAAGCGGTATATAAGTTTAACTATTGCTACTTCCACTTCACACGCTTCCTGTAGTCAAGCAAAACCTCTTTCCTCCCTTCCCCGTAGACGCTTAACTTCCTTTTGTCAAGCTTGAATATATGCACCTCTAAACCATCATTAGATTTTTTTTGGGGGGGGGGGGGAAAGTGCCTTCCTATAAAAGTGGGATATGCTGGTGTTTTAAAGGCACCACAAAGCAATGTTCTCAAGTGGTCAAGATAACATCATCCCTCACAGTCACATCATGGAAGTACGCCCACTTTTAAGCAATTTCTCTTGTAGAGTGCTTTGGAGGAGATATTTTTCTCCACTTCAGCATCTGCCCTAGTTTGAGATATGGGGCCCCGACTGCCATTTTTTTGAGTTCTTCCTCAGCTGGAGGAAGCATTAATTGGCTCGTATTATTAATCTATCTATTTGTGTAACCAATTTCAGATAGTTTGCAGGAATAGTAGGAAGAAACAATGGTGGGGAGAAGGACCCCGAGTTTGTCAAAGGCCCTACTTGTTCTAAACCTAGGAAACATAAGTGCTATAATTTTTACGTTCCTTTCAATTTTCCCTCTTATTTCTTTTCTTCCCCCTTTTTTTACTTTAATAAGCTAATTTTTTCCCTTGTGCTTGAAAAATAATTGGTGAAGTTCATTTCTTACTACAAGTCCTTTGAAGGCTTTCTTCTCCGTAATGCGATACAGCTCCTCCTTGGTCTGGATTTTGATGTGCTTGACTTCAGCATCGAACCTGTAGATGAGAAATACATACAACCATGGGTTTCCTTTGAATGATAAGCAATGATAACACAGGTTTATTGAAAACAGATGTACCTGCAAAACCAGGGACGTGCAGTCAGGAGAGGCAGGGGAGGCGGGGCCTCACCAGTGTCATGAGGAAAAGAAAAGAATGTTTAAAATAATTAA